TTTTTTTTTTTTTTTTTTTTTTTTGAAGCTATTAATATTAATGCAATAAAGAAAGGCAAATTGACGGAAGCAGTTAATAAATAATGAATAATGTCAGCTGTAAAGTGTCACAAATTTTTCCATCTTTTTAGTTCACATGCAAAACACACATAAACTAAAAATAAAGTCAAATTATATGCATTTATTGTTCACTAACTTTCTTTTTTTTTTTAATGCTAAATTTTTTCATATTTTTTAATTTTTTTTTTTTTTACATGTCATCTTTTGAAGATCAACTTTCTTTTTTTTTTTTTTCTTGGTGACAGTTGTTTTTTTTTTTAGAATTAGAAGTTTTTGTGTATGCATCTGTTTTTCTTAAGTATATACTTCTTCTATACAATAAATTTGCGGGTATGGCAAAACAAAAGAAAAAAAAAATCAGACATAAAAAGTCTTATTTGTTTAAAGGGACCGCAAAGACAAGTTGAAGGGAGGGATAAGGATGAGGTTAACGATGGCGAATAAGAAGGGAGGAAAACAACGGTGAAGGGTTGTTTTGCAGAACATATAAAGCTTTAAGCTGTTCAGAAAAAACTAAGAACAGACAGTGTGAAAGAGAAACAAAAAAAAAAGTGATAAATAAAGGCTGATTTTTCTTAAATATTAATGAAGCACTTTTTTTTTTTTGAATAAGGCCATGTATATGCAGTCTTTATCAACAACAAAAAGTACAGCAGCATCTGAGACGTGCAACAAGTTTTGATGGAAATGATATAGTAGGAAGCAATGCTATCATTGAAGTAAATTTCCAGTTGCTTAGTTTTGCTCTTTCGTTGACAACGAATAATGATAGATGTAATAAGTGTCTTGTGACACTTCCTGAATGTTATCGCAAAACAACTAAACAGCAACCTCTACTGAAGGCTTTTACTTCCGTATTTGTTGGTATATACATATTTGCTGGTCCTTAAGAGGTTATCAGGTTTAGCGAAAGAAAAGAGACTCTTTTCATTTTTTTTTCAGTGTAACGACTTAAAACTGAAAACACATTTGTTGGCTGCAAAGTTCACTGATGCGTGAACATTTAACCGCACAGAAATATTCAAACTTCTTCATTTAACTCACTACTCGTTTTTTTTTTTGATAATATCAAATGTTTAAAAATACTAAACAAAAAGAAACTGTTTAATTCTCTAAATTATTAGACGTTACATCGCAGAGAAGCTAATGAATTTGACGGCAAGCTATCGGATATCATCGAAACGACTCAAACAAATCACGGTCTATATTTTTACATACGTTTTTAGTTAGAGACGGAGAAGGTAGGCAAAAGAAATTTGGCCTACAAAACGATTTTACAGTTTGCCGCAAAATGCCAATAAAATAGCTTAAACAAAATAAAACTATTGAAATTCTTTTCTTCTTAAAATATTACTTTTCCAAAAATTTCACTAACAAATAACAGTTTTGAATAAAAAAATTTAAGCAAAAAACTGAAAACTAAATTTGTTTTCTTTTAAATAAACAGCTCTCTATGCGTATAATATGAAAATTAGAATAAATAAAGAGAAAAAAAAACAGAAAATTTCAAAATTTAAGTCAATAGCCTAACTCTAAATAATAGTGTTCATCTAGCAAGCAGATCACCGAGAAGGAGAAGGAATAGTGGAGGAGGAAAAGAAGTAGGAGAAAAAGAAAAGGAGTGAAAAAGAAGTTTAAAAAAAATTTTTATGCTTCTCTTCTTAATACAATTTTAAATGTAAGAAGGAAAAAAAATTGAAACACCACGTATAAAATAAGATCACTAATTTGGTTTACCACCAAATTTATAGGCTTAAAAATGTTTTTAATTTTACGCCAATCGAATAAAACTGTTGTGACGGCATCACTTTTATTTGACCAGCACTGCATCTAATTACAATAACGAAAACGCTGCAATTTTTTGCTTATATCAGATAGGCTGCTAAATGTACCAAAAAAAGAATCTTAACTTTGATT